TGGCTCAGGAATGGCTGTGTGCAGATGCCCTTGGGGCCAGGCAATGCTGCAGTGCCCCAAACAGGCTGGGTTTATAGCAGTGCAGGTGGGTGGGACAGGCCCCAGTTGCTGCTGGCACAAGTGGCCTGGGCCAACCCGGGAGTGCCCCATGGCTGTGGGGGTGCTGGGGCTGGCCCTGCTCCCTCCCTGCTGCTGCAGGGCCAGAGGCTGAGGGGCCTGGTGGGGCTGTTGCAATCAATGTCACCGTTGTCCCCATGCAACACCTCTTGTGACACCCGTGGCACAGCAGCAACGGGCTGTGGGGCCAGCAGGGAAATCCTTGGGATGGGCACAGGAACTGCTGGGTGCGGGCAGAGGCAGCAGTGCAGTCCTGGGGAAGCAGAATCCTTCTTCCATTCGCTCACATGATCATGTCTGTAGTGGTTTGGGTGGGAAGGGACCTGAAAGATCATCTCATTCCACCCCCAGCCAGGGGCAGGGGCGCCTTCCACTATCCCAGGATGCCCCAAGCCCCATCCAACCTGGCCTTGGATGCCCCATCACTTCCAGGGATGGCACAGCCACAGCCTGTCTGGGCAACCTATGCCACAGCCTCACCACCCTCACAGGGAAGGATTCCTTCCTAATATATTTGATTTAACATGAAAACATTTGTTTCTTCCTATCTGTTGTCTTTCTTTCATTCTGCAATTGTAAACCAGCTGGTGTGGGGTATCCAAATCACCACAGAATATGGAAAACAATTATGGAAACTTCAAGAACATCTTATTTGACATCAGGTCGGTGCATCTGCCATTTCAGAAGGATAAGCAGGGTTCTCTCTAGAGATGCTTCCGATAAAGGGAGAGCAACACAGGACAGATGACAAATTCTGTAACCCAGGTGATCCAACAGAACTGCTCCTCCTTCTAATGCCAACCAAGGTGAAGAAATACAAGCTGGATGCAGCCATCACTTGTGAATCCAGCGAGTTTGATGCCAGCCATACCACTGGGAGAAGTGACAGTCCTTGCCAGGCTGGAGGGTCTGTGCCATGTGCTCACGTTGGCAGCTCCTGCTCCAGGTGTTTGGCAGAGCAATCTGGTCCCCGCAAATTACAATGGGTCAGGTGCTGTGGATTTGCCAGCAGAACACCTTGGCATTTTCTCATGCACAGCCCTGAGATGTGAAGTCACAGTGACAAGGTGACAATCAGAAAAAATGTGAGAGAGGGATTCTGCATGTTCAGCAGTATCAGAGGCAGAACCTGCACACATCACTGATGGTGGGTTCACTGGGAGGGTTTCATGAAGGCACTCAGAAAATGTGCCACCCTGTGCCAGAGCAGCAGGTCAGTGCTGGTTTCCAGTGAGCAGGGTCTTTGTCTGTGTCCCGGCATGTGTCCCTGTGACCCTGCATGTGTCACTGCATCTGTCCAGCAAGCCACAGCACCACAGGGTCCTTACACACGGCAGGATGACACAAAGCTCTGGGTAAGAAATCCTTGTCAGAGGTGTCAGAAGAGGAAACCAAAGCCTCCTTTTCTCTGGTGCAGGGGGAGAAAATGAAAAGGAACTTTTGGGCTACTGGTGACACCAGCCTGGTCTCTGTGCTCTTTCCCTCCCCAATGATGTAGACAGCAGTAGACAAGATAATAATGAATTGAATGTATGGAAAAATGGAGGATTTAAGTGCTGCTACAGTGAAGCTCTGCTGTGGACAGTGAGTATTTCATATAGAAATAATGCAAATGAAAAAAGGCAAATCAAACCATTTAGTGCAGGCATTTATTTTATCCCTATCAAATTCATGAGTCCCATGTGAGTTCTCCAGGTGGCTATGCTATGCTCCCTGAGGTTCTTCTCTGCCATTTATTTAAGGAATGGCTCCTGCTGCAGCTGGGACCTTGGAACAAAGCTGAGGTTGTTTTAGGGATGAGGCTTTGCCACCGTGACCACAGCTCCCAGTGCATATCTTCTGGCATGGGAACAGAGTGCAGAGAAAGGAATGATATCTGGGCCTATTAACACCAAGATAAGGATCCCAGTTCCCCCAGAGGGAGCATCTGCAGGGCAGCCCCACCACAGGCAGCCCAGCCAGCCTGGCCCAGCAGGCACTGCCAGGCTCAGCGTCCCCAAAGCAGGGCCAGGCAGGAGCATCCCCAGGGACACAGGCGCTGCTCAGCCCCAGCACCATGGCCAGGGCCTTGTGCTGCCACCAAGGCAGTGGCAGCCCCAGGGCCAGCAGGCACAGCAGCCCTGCAGCAGCAGCAGCACACGCACACACAGCCCAGCCCTGCAATGCCAAAGTGCTGCTCTTTATTCAAGTTGGGAAAAGCAGCCCCTGCCCCAAAGACACCGGGCCTGACACCACAGGGCTCCAGCCCAGCAGCAGCCAGCAGGAGCAGCTGCCACTGCTGCTGGCAGCCCAGCTGCAAGCTGGAATCACCTGGGTGAAGAGTCCAGCTCTGGGACTGCCCCTGTGCCCCAAAAACGCTGTTTTTTTCCTTATTTCCAGTGGGTGGGGCAGACCCTCCCACCCGGGATTGCCAAATGAGTGTTGGGGTGCTGGGGTGCTGGGGCTGGCCCTGGTCCCTCCCTGCTGCAGGGCCAGAGGCTGAGGGGCCTGGTGGGGCTGTTGCAATCAATGTCACCGTTGTCCCCATGCAACACCTCTTGTGACACCCACGGCACAGCAGCAACGGGCTGTGGGGCCAGCAGGGAAATCCTTGGGATGGGCACAGGAACTGCTGGGTGCGGGCACAGGCAGCAGTCCAGTCCTGGGGAAGCAGAATAATTCCCTCCCTGCTGCAGGGCCTGAGGCTGAGGGGCCTGGTGGGGCTGTTGCAATCAATGTCACCGTTGTCCCCATGCAACACCTCTTGTGACACCCGTGGCACAGCAGCAACGGGCTGTGGGGCCAGCAGGGAAATCCTTGGGATGGGCACAGGAACTGCTGGGTGCGGGCAGAGGCAGCAGTGCAGTCCTGGGGAAGCAGAATCCTTCTTCCATTCGCTCACATGATCATGTCTGTAGTGGTTTGGGTGGGAAGGGATCTGAAACCTCGTCTCATTCTACTCCCTGTCATGGGCAGGGACACCTTTCACTATCCCATGTTGCTCCAAGCCCTGTGTAACCCAGCCTTGAACACTTCCACTATGGAGTAGTCACAGATCCTGTGGGTAACCTGTACCAGCACTTCACCACCCTTAGAGCCAAGAATTTTTTCCCAGCATTCAGTATAACCCTGTCCTCTGTGGCCTTTGAAGCCATTCTCTCTTTTCCTGTTGCTCAAGGCCCTGGCCCAAAGTCGTTCTCCAGCTCTTTTGGATCTCCTTGAGGCACTGGATGGGGCTCCAGTGCCTACTCTTCTCCAGGCTGAATACCCCCAGGTAACTCAGTCTCTATG